TTCTAAATAACATATGTGTGTGCAAGGCTTGACTTTCACCAAATGTTGAAGTGTGAGTTTTTCCTGCTGAATAATTTCTTCATTTCCCATATAACTCCCACATAGACATCATTTTAAACTCCTTCCTTACAACCTACTTAAGAACATAATGCTTTGAAATCCTATATTTTAAAGTTAAGACACCAAAACTTTGAACATTCTCTGACTTTTATTTTTCATTAAAATATAGTTATATTAGTTTCAGGCATGCAACAGAAAGCTTGGCATACACATACACATATAGATATATCTATACCTATACATGTATCTATATCTAAACATACATGTTTATATCTATCCCTATACATACATCTATCTCTGTACACATATATCTATGGCTATATCTATATCATCTTATGACGTGGTCACCGTAGGTCCAGTCACCATCTGTCACCGTCCAAAGTTATACAATGTTAGAGACCAAGTTCTGTGTGCTGTCCATTCCATCCCCATCATTACCCTAAACCCGTGGTTTTTCAGTCTTTAAAGTAGTTCCTTAAAATCGAGGTTTTATACAGAATTTCCAGTGCATCTTTTTTCACTCCCATTTTCCCATTTTTCCCGGGCCCCGCCGTGAGCGACTGGGGATTCCACGCACGAGGGGCGCGGAGATGAGCGAGACAGACCGCTGCCAGCCCAACAGCCGATTTTCTCCTCTCGCCCGCTGCGAGCGAGCCCGTGCGCTCTACATCCTGACCAAAATTCCGCTCCGGCGGAGCCTGTCCTCTACGTAGCGCTTCAGTGGTGGCCTCCTGACCCCTCCCAGCCCTGCTCCCTTCCATGCAGATCAAAACTCATGATTCCAGGCATGGTCTGCTCTCACCAGGTTTTGCTTGGTGAATTTAGTTGATCTGATGGACTTATTAGAGATAGTTAGGGTTTTTCTAATTTAATATAATATAATATCTCCATCCCTGGAGTAATTACTTTTGCATTGAGAAGGCCCTCTTAAAATACAAATTTTAGCTCTGAAATAATGAATCCCTAACAGTGGGATAGCCAGTAATTGAAGATAGCAAATATTATAATGGGATTTTTCTTATATAACACGGTCCCAAATCATACTGTGTGGGAACTTAATAACTTCATATTGTACACACAGGAACATGGGTGTGCGTGTGCGTGTGCGCGCGTGCACGCATGTGTGTGAAACTGTGAATTAGGCTTTACTGAAAAGCTGGAGCGTTGAGAAGTAATGAGAGTTTAGTGGAAGTTTTAGGTAAAGGTATAAAAGTCCACCTTTAGATAACAAAGTAACTGCAGGGAAAATGAGGAGCGCAGGGGAGGGGAGGAGGCGGACCCCTCAGGGGCCACTATTGAGGGAGCCACTCCTGCTGTTCAGGTGACAGGCGCTAAGAGAGAGGCCCCAGCAGAGAGGCGATAACAGAGATGCAGAGTGAGAACAGGCCCCGAGCCATCCCAGGGGTCCTGGGGACGGGGTGGCAGCTGCCCGTGGGAGCCGAGGAGAGCGAGGAGGCGTTTCATTTTACCTCTGCAACGTGCAGCTCGCTCTCCAGAGACTCGCCTTAATATGGATTCTCTTAGAGCAGCTACCAAATTAATTTTTAATGGCTCAGATGTTCACCTAACTCTAGAATAGCATTTTATATATAAAATACACATCGTCTACACTATCATTGAGGTTTGAGTGTACATATATATTTAGTGAGGTTTAATATTTACATAGATGCACATACATATACATTCATCTGTATCACTTAGAATAAAAGGTGAAATGTTTGGTATTATCATTTTATTATTAAGGTGATTCAATAACTCTATCATTAACTCTCACAATATCAATACCTATCATGAACTAGTGAGGCAAGAAGAGTTTTGATTGGAACCTAAAAAAATTACACCTCTGAGTAAAGTTATTTTTCATAAAAAATGAAGGCTGTTGTTTTTCTGACATGTTTAAGAGGAAATGAGATGAATAACATTAAAACTGTTTTGCTCTAGAATTCAGGGAACAATTCCCTTTTTGAACATTTAATTAGTGTGAAACATTTAAAAGCATTACACCATTAAATACAAGAATTCAAGAAATCTGAAAAACAGAAAAACGCTTTTTACGCTCAATATTATTGAAGTGAAATAAGTCTGTTTTACAGCATGTTGCCAGTCTCAAACTGGGTTGAATTCTGTACATTTAATAAGCGTTCTTAACACTTGGGCCTTGTGAAGCTCGATGGCTTACAGAGGTTTACTTAAGTCTGTTCTTAGCCATTCAGCGGGCGGATGGCGCGCAGCCCGCAGAGGAGGAGCGTCCGGCGTGCGTGGGCGTAGGAGCACGGACACACGTGTGCGCACTCACACCTTCCCCGATGCCTGGTTCTGTTGGTTGCGCCAACAGGATCAAAATAAAGTTCGATTGTTAGAGACGATGTATTTCCCTCTAAGAAAAAGAAACAATTTTCGTAGACATTAGCCCACTCACACATACAAACGGAGTCTAATAAAATTATATGTGAAGAGTTTTTATAACACAATTTGTTCAGTCGGTCCCTGTAATAAACCTTTCCCCATATAATAAAAACAAAACCAACCAATGTTAAAATTTTACCCTGGATTGTATTTCTGTTTAAAAGCTTTCTTCAAAAGATATTTGATTTCTGTAAATCACAACCCAGGGCTGGACTGGTTGAGTGCACTTTCCGCTACTGTTTATTGCCTTCCGCAGAGCTGTTACCTAGCAACTGCATGGAAGAAACTTCTAGTACTTTAAATCAAACAGGAGCTTAGAAAACGCTGGGAGGCAGATTTTTAGAAGAAAATATCTGACTTGTTTAAATGTAATTAACAATTTTATTTTTCATAAAGCAAATGGGCCTAGAAAATAGATTTGATTCATGTCCACCTATGAATTTGTATCTGTAATTATAATTGCTTGTCTTAAAAGCTCTTAACTTAAAAATAATAAAAACAATAAAGAGACCAAGAATCTCACACAATTCTATTATTTCAACTGTCCTGTCTCTTGAAAACTGTTTCCTACCCTTGAGGTAGTTATAATTAATAGTATGATTCCTGATCTTGCAGACGATTATTTGCGCTTACCAGACATACATGTGCACGCATGAACATACACGCAGAATTCAGCATTTCTATAAAACTGGGATCATGGTTAATTGGACAATGATGGAGTTATATTGTTTGGCTACTTACATTATTAAAATATGTCCTTGGCCTATTTCAGGAGAGTTTATGGAAATGTCTTTAGGTTTAATAATGCATGATTGTAATGAAATATAACTCTTGCTTAGAATTCTGTTCAGCATTTCATACATGTTGTCTATTTTTCTCAGGACACCTTTGAGGTCAATACTATTACTGCTCACGTTCGAAAGACAGAGCAAGAGGGGCGCGGAGGGCGGGCGGGCTGCGCAGGCCCTGCCCGCAGTCGGGGCCCGGGGGCGCACGCGCTTTGCCAGCCGGCGGTGGCGGTGGCGGTGGCGGTGGCGGTGGCGGTGGCGGGGAGAGAGCCTGCTCCGGAGGAGCAGGCCATAGACGGGTGGGGAGACGCCATGGCACGTCTGCCGTTTTGAGAGAGGAAAGGCTTTCTTCAACAAGGAAGGGCAATTAGGCGCCACAAAGGAAAAACAGGCCGGGTCGGACAGTCGCTAAGCAGTGGTGTTTGCGTAATCTTAAAATTTCTTAATCTCTCCTGCCTTCCAGTTCTCCCTGAGTGCTATAGTTTTTGATTAAAAACAAACCAACCAACCCACAAAACCGGTGTAACACAACCACCGCTCAGCCACCCCCGCCCCCAACACAGCTGGGCGCCCTCATTGAGAGGAAGGGAGTGTCCGCTTGGGCTCAGCGGTGCCACCTCCCTTTGATGTGGCCTCGCCCTCCCAGGTGACAGAATGTTGTACGGCTTTTTATTGTTAAGTTTCAAGGCGGACCCTTACGGTTAATTTCTTTAGCCATACGGTAAATCAGGTGGGATATTTTTAAACGGCCACACAGGGCGGTTTTTCTCACGGCCGCCTGCTAGGAGAGGTACGGTGTGCGCGCTCCGTAAGCAAAGGCAGTGATGCCGTGCAGGCTTGCACGTAGGGTGCTCGTCTCTCCCAGATTTGCTGGTACAGTTTGGATTTTTAAAATACTCTGTTTCGTGTCATAAAAAAAGGTACACTAATGTCCGGTGAAGTGGTTTCTTCCCTAAGTCCTCGGTGATAAGCAAGCCTTCTCGCCAGCCAGTGTTCGGCTGGTCATTCAGGATGATTTCTCTTTAATGTAGTCGTAATTCCAGTTCGGCCCCGGGGGGAGGTGAGTGTAGCGCCTCCTCCTCCCCCGCCGTCCTGGGCCTGCCCCGCACTCTGACGTCTCAGATCTGACTTACGGTCCAGCCCAGCCCTCGGGCCCACCCGCGCCCGCCCCTGGCCCGGAGGCAGCCGCAGACAATGGAGCACCTGCCCAGGCCTGCCCCTCTCGCTACGGACACAGCTGGGCCAGACCCTCTTCTCTGTCAGTTACTAACTCTCAGTCCAGTACTCTCTTCTTTAAAATTCTATTTTTAAGTTACAGGTTACATTCACTGTCATTTTGTGTTAGTTTCAGGTGTACAGTCCAGTACTCTCTTCTTTAAAATTCTATTTTTAAGTTACAGGTTACATTCACTGTCATTTTGTGTTAGTTTCAGGTGTACAGCATTGTCGCTAGACAATGAAATGCTTTGCGAAGTGGTTTCCCGGTATTTCCAGGTCTCACCTGCCCCCGTGCATAGTCACCACAATACTATTGAGTATATGCCCGAGGTTGTAGCATTCTCTCTTAGGACATACTTTTCCTGGGGGTAAAATTGCACGTGTAAAACAAAATCTTTAAAGTAAGTGTGTTTATGTTGAAACGTTCAGAATAAGACAACGTAATTCATTGTTTTATTTTTCATATTATTTTAAAATATTACCATGCTAAGGTCAATGATTCTCATCTACCTATTTTACTTCAAACAGACCATGTCGTTTGTGAAGAAGAGTTTAAATACGCCATGTTAGCTTTGAACTGCATCTGCCCAGCGACCTCTACCCTTATCACACTCCTGGTCCACACCTCTAGGGGGCAGTAAGTATATGTTTTCTTTAAGATTCTGCATTTTAAATTATGTAAATGTAAGTTATGTGATTTAGAAATATAGCGAGCCAAGGTACACGGCGAGATATGTACCTATGCTTGTATTTGTGTGTTATCTTTGTCTGATGGAGAGAAAAATGGACAGATACAGACCTGTTAAGGGGACGGAGACATACAGAAAATTGACAGTGATTTGCTGTCTCCTAACCTTGAGACAGTCTGTTTCATCCTAAATGCTTAGTGCCTACATCATTTGTCAGCCCTAGGACTAGGCCGTTGTTTCTAATTTTGAGATGACTACTTAGCAAATAAAACATTAAGAAACAGGATGATGACAGTCATTAGTGTAAGACCTTACAGCCATTTTTTTCTATTCCTGAGATAAATTTTTAGTCTTTTGGTCCTAACGCTATCTATACACAACTGACCTCAAAATTTAAAAAATTTCAATTATTACAGAATGATAACAAAATAGTAGATAACATTAGCGAATGTCGTATAAAATAAATCACTTTTTTATGCATTTTAAGGTAGATGAGGAAAAGTTATACCGTCAGAACGCACTGCTCTCATTGACTTTGATAATGTTTCGTAAAACACAGAGGCTCTTTTTGACTTGGATGATCAAGGAAAACGTAAACAGGGTACATGGACTTCCCTCTGACTTGCGGAGACACTGCGTTTCATACCGTTTCCTATTCTTTGTTGGCATTACAGACAAAAAATTGATTTTCTAAGTAAATTTCACTGTGGTTTTGTGGTTATGATTATTTAAATTAACTGATAGCTATTTAAGTGAAGTGCCAAGACAAATAGATCAAGGAAATGGAACATTTTTTCTTGGGATTTAATACTAGATGGAATAAATTGATAATTGAAAATCAGTAAATGCCCTGTGGTATTTTAAAGCAAATTTTACTCTTTCCTCGAATTATGTCTCTGCTCTATTGAGACAGTAAGAGTTTCCCAGAAGCCATTTTATTAAAGTTTGGAATACAAATATTTCTGTTCAGTACATTTACAAGCTTTTCTCATCTGTTGATGGAAACAATGGAATAGGGTCATGAATGAAATAGTTTTTCATTGAAGAAAGTATGCAGAACTGCGAAGAAATTAAATTAAAAACCTGAAAACTATTTTGACACCGATTAATTGAACATTCATGGAACTCATCCCACGAGCCACTGTTTCGTCATTCCGTCTCTGTCACAGAGGCTTACGACATCTGAGAAAAAGTCACAACTAAGTGTCACAGAAGCGCTGTGGCCCCCAGGGTAACTTTCTTCACAGCCGCTTCACAGAGAGGTAGTTCACACACTCTGCCATTCCCCCGCAGGAAGTGTAAGATCCAAGGCTCTTTCCTACCGTTCTGGAGCCGCACAGCCAACACCACTGCCTAACTCTTGAGTATTTTCATCACCCCATAAAGAAACCCTCTACTTTTCAGCAGTTCCCACATTTCCCCCAGCTCTTTTAGCCCTAGGCAACCACTAATTTCCTCGGTCTCTGCAGATTTTCCTATTTTGGACGTCGCACATTGCATATAAATGGGATCATATAATGTCTATGTGTGTGGGGGGTGTTGACCTGTTTCTTTCCTTGGCAGTGTTTTCAAGGTCTGTCCATATTGTAATGTGCATCAGGACTCTGCTCCTTTTTATGACTAAATAATATTCCATTCAATGATTACATGACATTTGCTTTTTCTCCTCATCAGATGGTGGATATGTGGGTTGTTGCCAGCATTGCAAACAAGGCTGTTCTTGACATGACATGTGTGTGAAGATTTTTTGTGGCTATGTGCTTGCATTTCTTTCGGGTATATATTAGGAGTGGAATTGCTGGGACATGTGGTAACACTGTTTAGTCTTTTTTAGGAACTGCCAGAATTTTTCCCAAAGAGATTGTGACATTATGTGCCCTCACCAGCAATGGATTCAGGTTTCAATTTCTTCACGTCCTCAGTTCCACTTGTTATTATCCAGCTCTTTGATCATAATGATCCTAATGGATGAAAAGTGGTATCTGCTTGTGGTTTTGGTTTGCAGTCCACTGATAGCTAATGACTTTGCACATCTTTTTGTGTTCCTTGGCTGTGTGTGTATCTCCTTGGTAGAAAAGCCAGTTCAGATCCTTTGCCTGTTTTTAAATTGGGTTATCTGTCTTTGAGTATTGAGTGTCAGAGTTTTTAGATATTTTAGATACAAGTACCTGATCGGATATATACCACCACTCGCATATAGTCAACCCAACAGAAAAGCACTTAACTTAATATGTCCAATGTATTTGAGAACATTGCTTGACTAAAGTAATTTACATCGTCTTCCATATTATGCTTTAACTGAAGATATTATCGAGATTCACTTATTCAGAAAATGTTTAAAATTTTGCTGAGGCTCAACTCGGCAGGAGTGAGAAAGCTCAGATATATCAACTTAATAATAAGAGAAGAAACTAGCTGAAACAAGTGGGAGAGACAAAGCAATCAGGAGCCAGAGGTCAGAGGTCAGCTCTGCGGGTGACAGCTGTGCCTCAGGTCCTGGTAAGGAGGGAGTCCCAGTTCAGAGCGGGCCTTAGACTAGCCCTGTTGGTGACCATCGTCCCCGCCTTAGTTCTCTTCCTCCAGCCAGTGGAGATAGGGGCCCAGCAGGAAGCCAAAAATTAAAGATGAATGGTCTATTTCTGGATTTTTATGTAAGAAGAATATTAATTTTTTTTTAATTGCATTTTGTATTTTGGAGTCTCGATAACAACTTAGCCAGTGCCCTGGCTGATATAGCTCCCAAGGCTGGTTAACACTCCAGGATTTTACATTTCCTACCCTATTACTTACTAACACAATTCATCCTAGTTCTCCTTGGTCTCGAAGTCATAAAGTAACTTTAAGATGATTTCAAATAACTGTGCTCCTTTGATTCATTGGGAACTTATCCTGTATTTTAGCTCTTCTCAGGTTTTCCCTTCATTTACTTTATTACATGCGAGTGCCCAGTGCTCTGGCTGTGGTATTTCTGATTGCTAATTAGAGTAGCATTTTCACTTATTGGACAACCTTGCCAGAAAGATGAACAAAAGTTTACTGTTTGGACAATAATTGCTGCAGGATAGGGAACATGGACCTGGATAATTTGGGCAAAGAAATGCCTAATTATCAGGCCAGTTAATAGACACTTAACCGATCCAGCTTGATGATATTTCATCCTTATCAAAATTTCATTTTCTTTTTATTTTCCTTTCAATTTACTTTCATGAGAATCTTTTTTCATTAGTCCATCCAAGAGGCAATATTTTTGGCCCCAGTGGTAATTAATAGGAAGGAAAGAGAGAACTGGTGAGAAAAATATTGCAAAGTTAGAATTTACAGAACTTGCACTGATACGATCCAAATGCAGAAAAGAGAAAAAAGCAGCGACCATTCCCACAGGCTGAGTCTGGGCTCTAGGGAACCCCGAAGCGCCTGGCTAGGCAGCAACAGGAGTCTGGGGCCCGGCCGGGGGTGGTGTTTGCTGTCTAATGCAGGTGTTAAGTGGCTGGGGTTGCTGCTATTCTCAGCTCCTGGGGACACACTGGAGCATTCAGGTAGAAATACTGGGGGGTTGGGACAACTGACAACCTCACACTCTTCTTCAAGAAATCGTTGCTTTTAGGAAACAGAGAGAAGAAAAGGGACGCGAGCGCAGGGCCGCACAGCGGCCGGTGAAGGAGCGAGGCTTGTGCGAGGGACTGGGTGGCTCCCGGGCGGGCGGCTTGAGGGGACGGCGCCGGTGCGTCGCTGGTTTGGTTCCCGGGGAGGCCGGAGAGGACGGTGTCAGCCAAGGGAGACGGCCGCGTTCTGAGCAAGGATGCACAAGCGAGGAGAGGCCGCGAACGCGTCCTTAGGGTCAGCCGCGAAGAAAAGCGGCACCGTGGACGCTCTGTGGCACAGACATGTTGAGAGAAGCTTTTCCTGCGAATGTTTTTGTGTGTGAGCCTGTGTGTATCTATCTATCCGCTGATTTTTTGTTTGCTTTCCAAGTTGGATTTGCGGGGCGAGTAGCAACGAGGCGGCGGCGGCAGCAAGGGCGGTGGGACCGCGGGGGCGAGGCCCGGGGCCTGCCCGCCGCTGCCCGGTGTTCTCCACGGGGAGGTCGGTGGCCAAGGCGGGCGCCGGTGGCCATTCCATTCCATAGTCATGAGGGATATCGCACTGATTTAAAAGACGTTCTGCCTCACATAACATAGCGAGATGAAAAGCAGGGGTGGTATCGATTTTACAGATCAAGGACTGGGGGTCAGTATTTGGAACAGGTTGTCGGCCTCCACGACGTTATCAGAACGCTTGGTTCTTTCCAACTTTCCTTCCAACATCTTCAGCGCACAGACTGTCATCCTTAAGATTCTCTTTGAAATCGCATGTGTCCTTTGCTCCTGGCTATCCTCTTTCTAGGGAGGAAGAAGCAGAAGTAAAATGGGTAAACCGAGAGCCCTGAAAATGGTCCACGTTAGTATACGGGCTGGGTTCTAGTTCTATTAGCAAAGGATACCAGTTTAAATTTAAAAATATGTGGATACATACACACATGTACGTGCATACACACACATACATGTTTATTTAAAATGGTAAGTTTACTCTTTATATAACTGGCTTATACAGCAGAGGTGTGAAAAGGCAGCGGAAAGGCCCTTATGTGGGGGTATATCGAACCATGCGGGTAACTGGGGTTGAACGCTTTATGTATGAGAAACCGTGACGGTCATTGTTATTCGTTGAAGAGCGAGCTGAAATCCAGCGGTGCAGATTGGACACAATTAAAATAGCAAAGTGTTACTAAGTGCATATCGTATAATCTTTAGTTTTTATTTTTGGATAATCCTTTCCACAAATATTAATATGTCATCTGTCAAAGAACCCAACTGAACATATTATTATGATGAAATATATGGTTTAGAAACTTCTCATCAAAGCAGCCGCTAAAACTGGACTCTGGGAACCGCTCGGCCCCCTCACAAGG